CAAGATTAGAAATTAAGCAACGTAGAATAGGTAGGCTTGCTTTAGGAGCTGACGGGAATACACCAAATTAGGGAGTACAAGGTGATATGGGATGGACATCATTTGAGGGCAGGGAAGCTAGCAGCAAGATAAAATTTGAGAAGCGATCGAGAAACGGGGGAAGAGCGTTGGGCTAGGAAGGTTTTCAGCTACTTGTACATGAAGAATGTCGATACAAAATGGAGGAAGCGAACCAGGAAGTTGACTGGTAAATACTTAGAAAACAGCAGGTGGCCAAACCAAAAAGAACTATCGGTTAAGAAGAAAGTGAAGGAAACGGAGACTGACATGTGGAGAATGGGCATGATTAAGAAGTCCACACTAGAGATCTATCGAACATTTAAGCAGGAAATTGCGAAGGAAAGGATCTATGATAATACTCGGGGTAGTTCTCTACTGTTTGAGGCTAGGACGGGAGTACTGCGAACCAAGACATATCGGGCCAAATACGAAGGGGTAGACACAGTATGCAGTGCGTTTGGAGAGGAAGAAGAAACTGCCGAACACTTGATAATGTTCTGTAAAGGGCTTCACCCTATAGTTCAGAATGACGGCGCAGAGTTTTTCAAAGCACTGGGGTTTGGGGACCGGGAGGGCAAAATAGACTTTGAGCAAGTAGACTTAACTAGAAGGAGGTTATCTGATTGGTGGCTAAAGTCAAGGCACGAGTGATAATTAAACCATTCACTGCAAAGTACGAGTCCTCAAACTCACTTTTCAAGGAAAAAAAATAAATATTGTTTTGAGTTCATTAAGTATTACGGCTTGGTGGCGCTAGCCACCGCCCGATCTAAAGGGTATAGCCATATCCATCGATCCATCCATCCATCTACTCCCTTGCGGTAGACGGGCGTAGGAGGTGATACTCGCTGGTATTGCGGGGGGGCGCGGCGATTGGGACGGCCGGAGAAACCACGCCGCGCGCCATCTCGAAGGCCATGGTAGGGCGAACGGCATGTTATCTACTGACCACGAGGTCGCGTACAAGCTTCAGGGTGTCTTCCTCCAACAGGACATGGCTACGCACGGATCCTTCCTCCGTGTGGCTACGAGTGGCTACCCGAGATATAATTCAGGCCACTCAGTTGTGAACAGGAGGAAAAGTGTGCCGTTCTAATGGCGGTTCTACTCTGCGTACCACGGAGGAAGGAAAAGGTAAGGAGAGGCCCTGACGTCACTCGTTGTGATGCCGTGATGAAGCCGGAAGTCGGCCATATTGACTGGGCAAATTCTTCTCTCTTGTTTACATTCGAATGTAAAGCAGAAGGCATGTCTCTCTAGCCTGCTCGAAAAGCACGTGCGCTGCGCAGTGCGCGTATCGTGACGATGCGAAACGAATGGAACGGGGCTTATCACTCGGAGCCAGCGGGGCACCTTCGGCTAAATCATTTCATCCGAGTAATAACGGGGAGTGGCAGCTCATCGATAACGAAGCAACTACGAGAGAACGCGCGCTAGATGCACTGACAACGGCAAGTGCTTTCACGTCATTAATTCAGCAACTGTACAGACAACACGATCGGTCGTGCGCCTTCTACGGTTGCATTCCGCCACGCGACTGACGCAGCGTCCTGCCACTGTGTTCGTGTTCCGCGTGAAACTCACCTGCGTCAGCATTCTGCGACCATGGTAACTTTGAGCACGGTGCTAGTGACAATTGAACGTGGTTGCTGTTACGTTGAGATTACATGCAATGCTGGTGGAGAGTGTACCAAGCGGAACAAAAAAGGTGTTTTAATACGCACATGCAAGTTACTGTACACACACAACACGAAACTACGTATGTGCACATGGTGCTCACGGCGTCTTGCTGGACTCAACAGCGTCGTCCGTTGTCAAAAGCAGGAGCACTGCTCAACCGTCACTGACCTGCAAAGCGTTCATCGTCATTCAGCTTCGTCATGGTGCCCAACGCCATTTCGCTGAACACTAACTGCTTCATCCACGCCATCCGCCGCACGACACATGGATATGCTCTTGTTCTACGCACTGTTGAAACCCCGTGATGGACAAAGGGATTTGTGAACGTTGCTAAGATTAATGTAACAGCCAGAAGAACACTGCGTAACCAATAACGCGGCGCAGAGCAGAGATATTGTCCGCCACGGCTCAGCACGAGACCTGGGGAGGCACACATTCCGCCGCCAGCCGCGGCCGCTCACTGCTAAACCAGCTTCACTGCGCAACACGTAACCATAACAACGGCGCCATTGTGCCTAGTGATATGGCCGCCATGATGTCATTTCCGCCACATTTTTTACGCCCTGCGCCGGCTGGGCATGCCCTCTCCTTACCTTTTTCCTTCCTCCGTGCTGCGTACGATCGGATCATGCCCAACATACGAATGGTGATTTCATCCGGGATTTTTGTTGGCCGACATAGACAACTGGAGGCGGTAGCATGGGTCACTGTGCGCCGATGTAGGGGGCTTTTGTTGATAAGTTTGTAGAAGCTCAGATTTTTTATGTTGCGCAAGGATCGTGCGAGCACGTACTGTTCGACGCATGTGGCTGCCTGCTGCAGGTCATGTTCTTTTTTGCCAAAGGACCCCCCCCTTCCCCCCCCCCCCGCGGTTCATGTGGTGACGTCATCTGCCTACAATGCTTTATAGGTGCCATTGTTGCGGTGGAGTTCGCGTGCCAGATCAACCATAGCTACATTAAAGAGTAGCGGGTAAAAAACTCGATTATACAAGATCGAATCAAACTGACATCAATGGCTTGATCCGGTCATATATTAAAGCTACATTAAAGAGTAGCGGGTAAATGATTGAGCCCTGCGGCGTGCCCTTGTTCGGAACCTTCATATTACATAATCGATCAAGCTGACACTGACGGTGGCAGTGCTGTCCCACAGGAAGTGCCTAACATAACTGTAGATGCGCTGCCTGCATTAAACGAGCCTCGAGGCCCATAAATATGGCCTGGTAGCTAACGTTATCAAATGTGTCCTGCCTAAAGCCAAAATGTTTTCTTGCTAGGTGGGGGGAGAGGCTTGTACACGACTTCATTTAGTTTAAGCAGTACATCTTGTGTTGAAAGACGTCGTGCCCAGAGCCCATACAATAACTATGGGAGAAGTTCATTGTCGTCGAGATAATCTTGCAGGCGGCTATACTCACAACTTTTTGTAGCAATGAAGACAAGGCTACGAAACCCAAGTGGGGTGTACTACCACTGAAGAATATATTCACAGAAATGAATCAGTGTTTTCAGTGTGAAGACAATAAAAACATTCATTTTTACAGGATGCTGTTCCTAAACAGATGCTGCACGACCCAAGGAGATATAATTTTTTTCTTTCGCTTCATGAAGTGTCATATCGAGTTTTTGCACGTGTGAAACTGTCTCACTTTTAGGTGCATCTCACATTCAAACAGGAGTCAATCCAGCCACTCATTTTAGGAGAGCGGTCACCTAAAGTAACACCAGAGAGGGGAATGTGGTCACGACTTTGTTATTCTAGCAGAAAAAGTTTTGAATGATTGATATGTGGGGTTTATTGTCCCAGAACCACGATAAGATTATGAGAGACACCGTAGTGAAGGACTCCAGAAACTTCAACCACCTGAGGCTCTGTAACGTGCACCAAAATCTGAGCACACGGGCCTACAGCATTTCAACCTCCATCGGAAATGCAGCCGCCGCAGCCGGGATTAGATCCCGCGACGCGTGGGTCAGCAGCCGAGTACCTTAGCCACTAGGCCACCGCGGCCGGGCTAGAAAAAGCTTTTATTGCATAAACACTTGATGTGTGCTCACAGTGGTTTCACTCATTCTTCCGAATTGGTGATAGAAGGTGGACTACGAGAACTGAAGTGAGGGTGGTGCTGACACAGAGTTCGAGGGGGGGCAATCGCACTTATTGCCCCTTCCCCCATGGATCCGCCACTGCAGCAAAAATAGCGTACTCGTCTTTAGGAAAGGTCTCACCCTCCAGCTATTCTGAAGACTTGCCGAAACAGCTTGTGTCGGATTTCACTCACAAATAGCTGTGCAAGCAGACGTAGCAAAATTCTGTGCGGTGGTATTATTCCAACATGACCGGCATTCAAAAAGAGAGTCGAGCGGGACTTCTTCGCGGAGGACTGCATGTAATGCAGCTCCACCACCGTAGCTTTCCCTTCATTTCCACAATAAGTTGTCCCAGAGTAAAGTGATGCGGCGCTCGAAGAGTTTACCAAGGCAGGAAGTCGGGCATATTGGCAGGAAGTCTTCGATCTGAAGTTTCCTGCCCGGCTTCGATATCATTACGACCTCTGCATGCTTCCATTCAGGGGGAGAGCGTGCCGCATTGCCAACAATCGGTGATAACAGTGTGATTTTTTGTACGGCGGTGCTGCTGAGGTTCTTAAAGAGGGAGTATGCGATAAGTCTGCCTTAGCAGCTGCGTTAAGGGTGTTGCTGCGAATGGCTGCCATAGACTGTACATCGCATTGGTTGCCCAAGAGTGTCGTTGGCATGTCCACAATACCTCACCAGAGATGGAGTGAAAATCACCAAAGCATTTGCACCTGGCTTGATCAAATAGCTCGTCGTCCGCCCGTGTCCTCAAGGGCGTTGTTTCACTCTTGAAGCAGAGTATTGTGGCAAAAACAATCGCATAATTTGAATCCACACATCAAGAAATTGCTGTGAAATAATAATCCAAAGGTAAAGAATGCTTCTAAAGCCTGTTAAAAAAGCTTGAGAATTAATTTTGTTGTGCACATATAAAAAGTCCACGGAGGGCACACAAAGATATTGAATACATTCTTCGTCATTATATGCCACCACGATAACACAGTTTCATGTCCACGGTCGTGACCTGCACAAACATCAACCACATGCAGCGCGCTGCCAGTTAAGGTGCCTCATGGTTGAAAAATATTTGCCCAACTATATGGAAGCAAAGGCCACTCTTCTTTGAAAAATGATACATTGAGAGATAATAAAAGCTAAATAACTGGAGCACACAGTGCATAAGAAAAGTTGTAGATTTTATTCTAGCATGGAGAAAACAAGGCACATACAGTATTTCATTTGGACGAACGAGTAGCTTTGCATCAACACATGTCAGCCAGAAAATAGTAGAAGTCATGGCCTTTTCACACAGCATGCCAAGAGCCCTAATTTAGGAGGCATATACAGACTAGGAAAAGCATGTTGTCGCACTACTCAAAAGAACCTCGTGTATGAGAGTTCATTTTCACCAGTTTGTAACAACTAAATGCAGCTTTGCCAGCAGCAGACAAGGACTATTTCTAGTGTACTTGAATAGTCGACTTGTTTTGAAGAAGTCGCCAATGAGCTTCGAGAATCACGAACAGTACTGCCGCCAGAATAGAAATCTTATAGCAATAATTTTAAAATTCTATGCCTAAATCAAAAGATGAAAAGTATTCGCACAAGGAATGTTGCTTGAACAAAAGGCTTTCACACTTCATTCCTCCAGGTCCCCTCACTCCTTCAAGGCTCAATTAGTGAGAAGACCGGAGAAATTTAAATATAGAACTGCCGTTCTGCTGGTAGGTCAGCATCAGAGTTAACACTGACACTCTATACATTCGTTTTGACTGTAGTTTGAAAGTTAAACATTTGTTCCACTGAAAACCAACATTAATAAAGGCAGTTATGATGAAATTAGACCTTTTACAATTTATTAACTTCCTTGTTCTTGCACAACACATAGCATACAGATTTAGCACATCATACTGGAAATTTACCACAGCCATTTTCCATAACTGGTACCATTGTCACCACTGCATTTCACACAGAGAATTTTGAGACAATTAAAATTCTGAAGCAGGCGAGGGTAGCTGGACAGCCTTAGCGGAAATTTCAGCTCTATTTTAGGCTGCACAGCATTTTCATACAACACACTTTCTGTGTGCAGCCAGTGCACCAGGCTACTCTGTAAAATGCCCAAACATAGTGAGACGCCTCCTAAAAAAAGTGGAATACCTTGTAAACAAATTTGAATGCTCAAACATGAAAACTCAACTTGCTGCGCAAGCTGCAGAAAAATGAGAAGGGAAGCAGAAAAAACGCACCAAGTTAAATTTCTGACTATGAACCAACTACAAGTCTGCAATGAAGTATTGCTTGAATGTTAAATTTTACTATAAATTTCAACAAATATTTTTTTACAAAGCTTATAAAATGCCCCTAACACACAGCCAGCCTACAGACCAGCCATGTCATCAAAGATTAGCTTTGCTTTGTTGTGAACTATGCATGCTGATCGGAAAAAAAAAACACTAACCATTCACATTTTTCTGTTTGCATATTTGCCAACAGAGGCTTTTCCTTTAATGAAATAAAAATAGCACAGCCCCTCACCTACAAAGGGCTTTGTGTGGTCCCAGCCCACACTGAGCTCTTGGAATGTTGAAAGGAGGATCTAATCCTCTGTGAAAAAAAAAAAAAAAAAAAAAAAAGAGCTGCAGCCCCTCTTTTAATGAACGGTACAAGAGCCTCTGCAGCTTCAAAGAACACGAAAGCAAGTTATACTTGTGTAAACAATCGCACACTTAGACCCACATTCAGGACCTGCAAAGCCGCTGATGTTGCTAGCAGTAAGGGAGCACAAGATTCAATGTAGGCTACTAAGCCGTAATAGCACAGCACATTTATACCATAAAGTACAAAACAATTACATTTGGAGTAAACACAGCAGTAAATGATGCACCAATTTTTCTTGCATGCAATAAAATTGGGACATGGTAACACACTGAAGCCACAGAAATATTAAACATAATATTACATGGCAGCTTAGAACAAAAAGATTATGTACATTATACACATATGTAGTATGGAATAGCAAACTGAGTAGGATATTATTATTACAAGACCATGTTCTCTAGCCACATCTCATCACTTTTAGCACAATGATATTTTCAGCTAATTTCCATTTCCTAGCCTCACATTTCGGACCACTTGAGGAACTCAGCAAATGAAAACATTGCTTGTCTGCATTACATGTCATTAGCAACACAATGCTGCATGGAAAATTCAGCATAAAGCACACGACTATCAGGCACTCATAGTCATAAAAGCCAACAATCATCTTGTAGTCAATCAGATGTTTGCGAATAGTTTACACATGTCACTGGGTGTGCAAAATTGCTTGTCGATTGCTGGGAAAATTACGTCGAATAAAAACAATTTCAGCAATGCAAATCAATTCCTGGTGAGCAATATCTGCTACTGGCACTCAATTTTCCCACATCCTGTAGTAAGGGGCAATTGCAAGAAAGCCTGTCTTAACTATCACAAGAAAACGAACTCTAATGAAATGTCTGCTGTGCTGAAGCATAACTAGATTTTTTAAGCTATGATAGAAACAAACATTATTGAGAGACCTATGTAAGCATTGTTAAGAGACACATGAAAGTCTATCGCTGCTGCTCACACAGAAGGATGCAGCATTAGCCTTCTGTTACAGGCTCGTGTCTTGTAGTTTTCTGTAACATGTAACTTTGGTTTACCTTCTAGTGCAGGCTCCTTTCTGGCAAGATGAACTTGATTAATTTAAACTAGTCTATCTACTGCGAATTCACTGCAGCATCGTACACCTCAGCTTATTCTAATGTAAACCCATTTTTTTCACAAGGTGACTTCTACAAAAAAGGGGAACCTTCCAGACACTAGCTAGGTATGTAGCATCAAGTATTAAAAAAAACTAACATGAAGATAATTATTCATAAGTGATGGAAAGAAAGTATCCTAAGCCTTCGCACATTTCATCATGCAATGTTTGTGGTATGACTTTAGAAATGCCTTCCTTTGTTAGCTGTAAGGAGTCATTAGGTACGATGAACTTTAGCAACACATCACTCCTCAGCTACTGATAGTACGCAGCTCAAGTTGAAAGGCTGGACAGGCAATCACATGAGGCAAATACGCTGCGCTGTGCTATGTCACTGTTGTGTTTTGCTTTTAAAAAGGTCATGTTGATTTAGAGCATCATGCAATAATGACAGTGTGGCTCTAAGAGTCTCGTGTAGAAAACAGAGGCCACAAGTATGAGCCGATATAACGATTACGTTATTGGCGCACAGCCCACTGACATCACACATGTTGGCAGGCAAAGGCACAACCTTCACTGCTTCTGTTGCTGATCCTGATCTTGCTGCTGTTGCTGTTTTTGTCCTGGCACGTAGTCCCTCGCCATGAGGCAGGCAAACACGGTCATGACCATCTTGTGCTTTCCCTCAGCAATGTCCTCCGGCAGTGCGTAGATACGAGCGCCTTGCTTGCGGGCCATTGAGATGGCATACTTCGCGTTCGCAAGACGCTCCTCCTGTGGACAAAAGGAACAGTTTCATACACTTGTCCATGCATGTGCAAGTGACAGAAGCCTTTCAGAGTGGACTAAAGGCAACATTTCAACTAGTTTAGATGCTCAGTACATGAAAATCACTAAACAAAATTGCTGTTTAAAGGCAACATAAACTACTTTTCGAAAGTGTACCAAATGACTTGAGTATCAATGTTTGTTGCCTCACAATCTAATTGCCACAAAAGTATCTCGAATATGTCAAGAGTGAAGTTACAGAGGTTTTGTGCCACAATGAGTTTTCTTTCTTCTTGCATCTTGATGTGCACACTGGAAGCAGGGAGTTGTGGGATGGGAAAGAAGTTATGTCAGTGTGCATCATAACCTTGATTGCGCAGTAACGAAATAGCGATCTCTCCTCTGCATTTAGTTCTTGTGCACAAGTGTGGCTTACAATTTAATATTAGCAGACAGGTACACGGCAGTACCCCATAGCAAGAAATACATTTCATCCAAACGCCGCACTCGACTTATTATAATCTTTGTGGTGAATGTTCAGGCGAGCCGTTTGTCATTCTGAGTGGTCCGTGTGTGACGTAGCTCAATGGCGACAAACAACCTAGCTGCAGAGTGGTCATCCATTGTTCAAGCCTGGCAGGACTTTGGAGTGAACGAAAAAATGTGTGTTGCTGGAGGGGCTGCTGCGAGGGACAACCTCCCAGGAACATTGAGAGTGTGCTTCCTTAAGAAGTGCGGCATATCTTACGTGCTTGATGGCACCGAGGATTGCGCACTGTTTGAAAACAGAGACAAAGAAGTCAGCAACGAGGAAAGCAGTGTCAACAACTTGGAATGAGCGCAGCATCTTTGTGATGCGAATATCTGGGAGCGCGAAAAAACGACGACAAAGAAATACATCAGGACTAGCAGCTATACGTCTCGAGTTACATGCATCATGAATGAACTGCTTTGTTTCACCTTCATGTCCAACAAATGTTTTCTTTGTGAATGCTGTGCTTGCTGTTTCGTTCAGCCTACATTCACTGGAAGTTTTTCTTTCTTTCTTTTTTCCCTCGGGCTTCGGATTTTGGAGGTCGGCTTAGAATCTGGGTCACCCTAGTTTCAAGTAAATACGGTATGAGCCAGGAAACACACAAGCATCCTCACTACTATGCCGCTTTATTACTTGTTCAGTTGAGCCTTCATTTTTTTCACGACATCTCGGGGAACTGCCTCAAAGTGTGCACACCATTTAAAAAGCAGCTACGAGTATTTAGACACATGCATGATCAGAATTGTGCTGGATGAGAAAAAAACACTTCTCAATCTATCTGTAAGAAGCCAGAAGCTTGAGTGACAACATATCCCGGTTTTTCAAAAAAAAAAAAAAAAAAGATGCTGCGGGTAAAAATCTGCCTTTATTGGGGGTCACTGCCTGACCCAATATTTATTTAATTTGAATACTGCCAGTCTCTTTCAGAGGCCATAGCAGATGGGCATCCGAATTTGACAAGCATGTGTAAAAATTAAACATACAAAAAAAAACAATTGGCAGGAATGAATTGCTATGATGACAAAAGTATACAATGTAAGTTGTCAATAATAACTGTCAAGGAACATGCACTTGTACGAGTGGAAATCACAAAGAAATAAAAATCAGCATAGAACACAGAAGTCATATTCAACTATACATATGATTCTGAAATGTTCTCAAGAGTATACAAAAAATAGAAGTTCTGCACGTACACATTTCACAAAACCAGAAAACACTCTGCACTGAGCACTAAGCCACTGACATGCCTGGAATTTTGATGACATGAATCACGGACTGGGGATGGTACTCTACCATCAGATATCTCCCATTTTTGATACGAAGTCTGACAATGGATTCGAGTTACTAATGAAGAGATTTAAACAATTCCACTCTCTGACAGAGCGTGGAAAAAAATGAGTGCTTGGAAATGTCTTTGTGGTAATTGTACTTTTTTAGCGTGAATGTCTGTGTTGGGTTACGCGGAACTCTGATGAATGGATGTAAAATGATGCATCAATTTTATAACATCAATGAAGGAGCAGGAAAATAAATCTCGTGCGGGCTTGCTTCGCTCTATTCATCAGTATTTGTACGCCATAGCTTGTCAGCATATTTGTGGGAGAATCAGTCTTTTTAGATTTGTTGCATATGAATCTCGCGGCCTTCCTCTGCACATTTTCTAGTTTTTTTTACGTTAGTTACTGTGTAACGAAACCACCCTGTGTTAGCGTGTTCCAATACCGGTCTAATGTACGTAGTGCAGGCTAAAACATTGGTATATTGATGGGCCAGTTGGAGGCATCTGGGAAGATGAAACAGCTTTCCGAGACAAAATGCAGTGATATTGGTGATGTGCACATCCCATGGAAGATCAGAAGCAATCGTGACGTCTAGATATTTTTGTGCGTTCAATTTTTGAAGCATAGTGCCTTTGATGCTATAATCATACTAGATAGCTTCTTTCTTTCGTGCTATTGACATGCAGACAGTTTCTTTGGGGTTAATCGACATTTGCCACGTGTCGCACCAGTTGCAGAGAATGTTTAAGGGATCGGTCAATGCAAGGTAAACTGAATGAGTGTTAATTTCTTTGTAAATAATGCAGTGGTCGCCAAAAAGCCTAATGTTGCAAGTGATATTGTCTGTGATGTCATTAATAAAAATAAAATATAACAAAGGCCCCAGAACAGAGCCCTGTGATACTTTGGACGTAACAGGAAGTATTTGTGATGGTACTCGCTCAAACAGGACATATTGGGAACGGCCAGTTAAAAGAGTCTTCAATCCAATTTGTTAACGATGCATTTCTGATGACATTTTGAAATTTAGCAATTAATTTGCTGTGATATACAGTGTCAAACACATTAGAAAAATCTAGTAATAAGATGTCTGTTTGCACGCAATTGTTAATGAATAGCGCAAAATCGTGAACAACCTCTGTTAGCTATGTCATTGTCGATAATCTACTATGGAACCCGTGTTGACTAGATGACAAAATGCATTCCGTTTCCAAGAAAATGTTTAGATGTTCTAAAATTATGTGTTCTAATATTTTGCATGACGTGCTGGTTAAAGATATTGGTCTGAAGTTTGAAAAGTCATCATTGTTGCCTGCCTTAGGAAACGGTGTTATTTTAGCTTTTTTCCAGTTTTCAGGAAGCTTCGATTCGGCGAGAGATTTGCGGAAAATTAAACAAAGGTATTTACTGCACCACTCTGCATATCGCTAAAGAAAGCGATTGGGAATATTGTCAAGTCCCGAAGAATTTTTGGCGTCCAGTTTCAGCAAAGACTAAATACTCTTTCATCACTTACTTCTATTGAGTCGATTTCCGAAATACTAAGGGGTGTAAGGTGCAGGAATTTTTTTTATTTTCGCGAAGACACAGTGAAAAAAACTTGTGTATCAGCTTTCGCCCTTTTTTTTTTCCTAATGACAGCCGACGAGCACTGGCTTTCTTAGGGTGTAAATGGTTCCAGAACTTCTGTGGGTTACCAAAAATGAACGACTGCAGCATTACTTTGAAGTAGTGCTCTTTTACTAGTTTCACTTTGATCTCGAAATCTAAATGGCTGTTTTCAGGTTCGATACATTCACATAGCAAATGTTTATCTTCAAGGCCTGATATAGTCGCTTAGCTTTTCCTTTTGCATTAAACTCTCATGTTTCGGTGGCTAGGCTTAAGTCAGCAGGGGTATCCTGAGGCGGTCTTGGTGTCCGTGGCCGAAAGTATCCGTAGAAAACGGAGAGCTAAAGATGGCCAGGGACATGGTGCAGTAGGACGTGACAACAGGACCCACGAAAAAGAAAGAGAAAGAGTAGCTGTTGTCCCTTACATGCATCAGGTTACCCACCGCCTGAAAAAGGTGGGGCAGCGCATGGAGTGCGTGTAGTTTCCTCTGCACCACACAAGCTTTCTCAGCTGGCTAGACTGACATGTGGCGCTAGACACAGGGAACAGCGGTGTAAAACAAAGCACAGGAACCGTTTTGTCAACTGCATTAGTGACGTAGTTTACATGATCATACTTTCGTGCGGTGCCTGTTATATTGGGCAAACTGGAAGATGCCTCAACGACAGGTTGCGTGAGCATGCGTGCAATGTTCGTAGCGGCAATGATGGTTATCTTGCCCAGCATGTCACTAGATGTGGCTGTGAAGTACAATTTGATAAGACAGTAGTTCTCCAAAAGCACAAAGATGAGCGCACAAGGCTTATAATTGAAGCAGCACACATAGCGGAACACGGGGCTTGCGTCAGCAAACCATCAATCGCTTTGTCCGATAAGGAGCTAGCGTTTTTAAACATTAGCAGATGCCGTAGAAGTTAACTAATCAATGTAAAGCACAGTAAGCGATGGTAAGGTAGGGCTGACGCACTAAGATATTCTATCGGTGTTGCCATTTTTGGTCTATGCTTTGGTGTTATCGTATGTGCCTTGACACTGTATCATCTTTTAGTATATATTTCATATTCTTTCCGAATAAACTTTCAGTTGGTAGTTAGCGCTTGTCCCTGTCTTTCCGTCTGCTTCTACGTTGTGCGCTTCCATTTCATAATTAGTCTAATTAAGGGAGCTATGAAATGAAAGCAATGACAATGTCTTATTTTTTAACAGTGCTGCTGTTCTTGGTCGAGGCTTTCCCGTCCAATCGCATAGTGCTGATTACGTGGCATCACAGTGAGGAGAGAGTGAGGCTCTATAGGAAGGAGAGGGCTGTGCCATGTCAAGAGTAGCAAGGGTAGAGCTTGAGAAAAAGAAACATGCTAGGAAGGGGAAGAATGAGGCTTTACGGAAAGAGTGAATGATAAGATTATATGGGCTTTACCTCCCAAGACCACAATCTGATTATGAGAGACTGTAGTAGAGGGCTGCAGAAAGTTTGACCATCTCGTGTTCTTTAATGTGCGCTGACATCATACAGTACACCGGCGTTTACCATTTCGCCTCCATCGAAATGTGACTGCCACGGCCAGCATCGAACCCAC